AATTTCATAATTAGCGTTGCATGGTCTTCGGCGGCTACTGTATATGTATATACGATGTAACCAGCGAGAGGCTTCTGACAAACGCAAAGGGATATACATATCTACCACAGTGAACCAGGTTTGAGATTTTGAGGACATCAGGGACAAGAAGGCGGGGGGTTGTAATTTTTTAGTTTTATTGCTCCAGTGAACAGAGGCGTGCCCTTTCTGAGCTACAAAACGAAGTCGATCCACAAATGGAAAACACCGCTCCCAACGATGGACGGAATGGCATAAATTTCACAATCCACCGTCTCAATTATCGCTTGGCTATCATCATAATAATTGAAGAGAGCGCAACGCTAGAGAGATCTCAGAACTATGATCCAGCCACTGCCCAATGAATGCAATAGGAAGGTTTGTTGTAAACGCTAAAGAAATCTCGAGGCAATTACATTTTTTTCTCAGCAGGAATGTATGGAGCCTAAAATAATTGTAACTTACGTGTGAACACAATTCTACGGACAGGACCCTTAACTCTCAGTACTGGTGGGCGAGTAATTGTATTGGGAGCTACTGTCTCCTAACAACTGGTTTTTGGTACGCACATTGTTCAGGTAAAGGTGGAGGTACATTTATAACGCCATAAAGCCATCTCAGACCACCTTAAGGTAAATTTACTCTTGTGGAGCAGGTTATATTTTTCGCAAGAGTCGCCACTTATTCAAAAGAAAACGAGAACATCTCTCGGCATGGATGCGGAAAGGCCGCATTTGGCGCATGTGTAGTACAATACCCGCACAAGTTGTTGCTTTCAGGCATGGTTCGCGCCCCAACAAAGTTTTTTGAGTTGGCCTGAGCGTCTGGGTTAGCGTCTGTTGGCAACAACAGAAGCGGCCGACATCAGATTACGAAAGCCGTTTTTGTGTGCACAGAAGAACCTTGTGAGGCTCCGCGCTCACCATGGTCAAAGGTCGATTAACTGCAGACAATTCCTTGCGTTCTTCCTTTCTATCTCTCTCCCTCTTTTTCTATCTACCTATCTTTACTACCACGCCATTTGTTTTGTAAGACAAATTTATATCAATTTCTCTAATCACTCGGATATTTTACTCGACCCTGGTTCGCTATAGATGTACTGGCCTGGCAAGAATTTATCTAACGTAACCGTCGTTCGCCTAATAGTCTTCAAAAACCATTTTTGTTAAATAAATTACGCAATTCTTGAGACACAGCTGAATGCAGTGCACTGCAGACACAACAATTTATCATCGATTATATTCCGTATAGGTCAAGATTTCTTCGGTTAAATAAGATGCAACGCGACTTTAACCAGTCAGGTTATTAATACTTTTAATTTGCTTATAACCACGCACTCGCTTCTAATTATTTTCTGGATATGCACAGAAAAAAAGGATAATATTTCTTCTAACTCTTGTTTAATTAAGGAACTTAACCTCTTCTTCTATGTCTTTAAAGTAGAGCCATAATATATCAGGGGTTGGTTATAGGTGGGGATAAAGGCAATTCTGTATTTATGTCTGTGAATCTTGCCTCCTAAATATTCCTGAGACAAGTACGGAATTTAAGTAACCAAACGCCACAAGGGTTCATATCTAAAAACCCTCTAAGGCGTTCTCTATATGAATTTAGTTAAGACCCTGAAAGTTCCCTCTTTAGCCGGATTTAATGTGCTACTTTTTACCTTGGATATCGAAGGGGTTGTAGACTACTGCAGGTCGATTTCTCTGCACTAATGTTTTTGCAAGGACCCCGTAGGGATATCCATCGGCAACCTATCGGGAAAATTACAAGGGAGGCATTCCTGCCTGCGCCTGACCATTCACGCATGCCAGGTTAACGAACCACAAGAACTCACGTACTTGTAAACAAGTCCTTGGTGTTACAGCTAACTCCACAGGCAGGATAGTGGCACCACCATACAAGATAAATCCCCAGAGGAAGTTCAAGACGAGCAGCAGTGGCAGTGCCCAAGGTCGTCGGCCAAACAGCAGGACCAGCACCTCCTTTACGCCATACTTCTCCAACCGAAACTCCTCCGTCTCGTCCGTATGCACCAGACGCCCCGTGAAGGAGAAGGTGTATCCCGATTTTCGCTTTCGTCTACCTCCGCCGATAGCAGCGCAGGCTGGCAGGGACTGTTTCGGCATCCGTTTATTGGTTATTGCGATAAGGTCGAGTACCTCTGCGGCCTCAATGGTGCGATGTTTATTGTAGAGGTAGACGGGTGACTCCTGTGTGAAAAAGGCCAGACCAATACTACAAAGTAGAAGCGGTGCGGTGGTGAAAAGGACAAAGTAACGCCAGTTCAGATTCCCCATGAGACAACCCAGACCGATGCTGGCCGTGATGACACCGATCAGGGTCTCGAATGTGTACGTCAGCAGCTGACTGGTGGCCTGATAGGGCTTGGGCATTGTTTCCGAAAGGAGACTGCTGCCAGAGTTCAGCATTCCACCGATGAAGATACCAGAGACGAATCGGAGGGCCGCCATCCAGGGGTAAGTGGGGCTGATTGCACACAGCCAGGAGAGGTACATCAGGGCAACGCAGGAGAATAAGCACATCTTCTGGCGTCCAAACATGTCAGCTGCGAAGCCCATGGGCACCGCGCCTATGCAGCTGCCCAAAAAGACCAGGGTTGTCAGGAGAGCAACATAATCGGGTGAGAGTTGCCAGCTGCAACGCAGGCTAGGACCAAGTATCGCCTGAATTATGGTCTCCATGGTGTCCGTGGAATGCGCCACACCGAGGATGATTATCACTTTGGCCTGGTACCATCCGAAGCCCAGTTCATTGAGAATTGACTCCACAAGTGGAGTCTTTCGAGTCGGGGCAACCACCTCACCCATCTTCTAGAAAATGTAGAGATGAGCAGCTGCGAAGGCGGACTTGAATTCGGTTAAATGCTGAGCGTGCCATTGGTGGATCGGGAACCAATCACTGAGCTGGCGCACGGTAACGCCCAGGCGTTGTACTCTTGCGTTTGGTTCTCACGCGCGACCTCGCGGTGGTATGTCTGACAAAAACACCTCCATGTCGCCGAAACTGGTAGACTTTATTTTTTATGTGATGTGAAGTCTATCAACTGCCC